CGGGAAACGGGCGGCGGGCGGCACCTGCTCCCGCCGGGCCGGGCGTGCCTTGCCCCTCTCAAACATGGCGGCGCTTCCGCCGCGGCCGGCGGCGCGGGCGGGGATGGGAGCCGCGCGGGGACACGAGGCGTCGAGGCGGGCGCGCAGCTCGTGCTCGCCCTTACCCCGCGGGGCCCACTAGACCCGAACCGGGGCCCAGTGGACCCGAGCCCGGGACCGTCGTCCCCGCCCCGAGGGCCTCAGAAACGGCCCCCCAGAAGGGCCCGGTCCCCAGGAGGTTCCCAGGGCCCCTCAGCCACATACCGCCGGGGCTCCCAGCCCTGGCAGCCGCGTCCGTGCCCGGTGCTCCCCAGCCATGTCCCCGCGGCTCCCGTGCGGAGCGGCCCGGCCTGACCGGTGACCGGCCCCGCGCCGGGAGGAACCGCCAGGCTGGGCCGCGGCCGTTGGCCCCGGTTCCGATGCAGCTTTCGAACGGCGGGCGGTTCCGCGGGGCGGCCGGCGGCTGCAGCCCGCTGCTCCATGCGCCCGCGCGGCCCCGCTGCCCTTCCCGAGCGAGCAGGGCCCGGCCGGCGCGCTCACCCCACTATGCCACTCGCGGCCTCCCGCCTGGGAAAGAGCAACGGATTCTCTGAAATTGCCCTCAAAACACTTCGCTGTTTTGAGACGCTGTGATTTTTCTCCAAGAGCCAAAACGCGCCGAGCCCTCGTGGGCGCGTAAAGCTCCCATGCACCTCGTGAGACGCGCTGTGTCCTGCCTGCGGACACGCATGTGGCCTCGGAGCCGGGCGCTACGGAGGCGGCGTCGCCCGGCGAGGCCCGCGAGGGAAGGCCGCGGAGCCTCGCTGCTGCTCTAGAGGCGCCCTGGTGTCATGGACGCGAAGGTAGCGCTCGCAGCGGCGCGCAGGGGGTGCTGGTGGAGGGCCCTGCTGGATGTCACCGCTGTGCCGCGCCGGGAACAGCGCTGCCGTGGGCGCCCGAGCCTCCCTCGTTGTGCCACACTGCTGCAGCCGCGGGCCTGCACGGACACCGGGGCTCGGGGGCCGAGCCCTGCGTCCCGGCGCTGCGGATGCCCCGCGCGGAGCTGGAGCCGGGGCTGCCGCCTGCGCCCGCTCCGGCTGCTTGGCATCCGGGTGCAGGAGGGAGCCCCCAACGCCCCTGCTCTGCAGCCAGTCGCGGCAGCCGGGGCTGTTCCCAGCACTGGGAATGCTGCTGGAGCTGCCCCAAGAGTGGCGCTGGGCACGTGCGAGGGGGCTCTGCCCTGCGCCAGCTGCTGGGTTTGGGTTCTGTGCAGCAGAGCGGGGCAGCGTGAGGCTCCCTGAGTCAAGCCAGGGCTGTTGCTGGCAGCAGCCGGGAAGAAGGGCCCAGGTCGGGCCTGGCAAGGCCAACACGAGGGCTCAGGGGCTCTGCTGCTGCCTCTCCCCCAGCCCCTTCCCCGTTTCCTTCCCTGTGGGGCCGGGAAGGGCCCGGACGGTGCCGCCGGCGCCTCCTGCGCGGCCGGCGCTGACCCCCGGTCCCCGCAGGAGATCATCGACCTGACGTGCGAGGAGGCGAGCACAGAGCCGGCGGCGCGCGGCAGCCTCGCCGTCATCGACCTCACGGAGGAAGATTCGTGCAGCCTGCCCGACGCTGCGGGTTGCGCTCACTGGGACCCCAGGCAAGCGCCTGCCTTCCAGACAGCCTTCCCGCCCAGCCCCGGTTTCCTCACCGGGCAGCAAAGGGAGGTGTCGGCGGAGCCAGGGCCTGCCGGGCCCTGCCCTGCGGGGCCTCTCTCCACGCTGGACGCAGCGGGAAGCACCGGGAGCGGCGGCGGCTCCCCCACCTGCAGCTGCGAAGGCTCCTCGTGCAGCCATGGGCAGAACTGCAGCACCACCACTTTTAACAGTGACTTGGGCTCCCTGGCCAGCATGCAGCTGGACTCGGACCAGCTCTCCCTGTCCCCCCCTAGCCTGGACAGCAGCTGGAGAGCCTCCAGCTCCCCAGTAGAGGAAGAGACTCTCTCCATTTGCCAGGAAAGGGAGCTCCCGCCAAACCTGAGCCCCGCTCCAGCCAGCATCCCGACATCCCCAGTTCGAGCCGAAATGCCTGTGCTGGAAGCAAGTGACGTGCTGTCACAAGCAGCAGCGCAGCAAAAGGCCCCAGCCAGGACCAGGCCGGACAGCAAGGCCTGGCTGAACAAACTGCAGTACTTCAGGAGGACTGGAGTGCATCACCTCTTCTTCCAAGACCTAACGCCCAACAGGGAAACGCAGGTAAACGAGGTTCAGAGCAGCCGCTGCCAGGCCCAGCCAGAGTCTGCTCGGGGACGGTCGCGGTGAGAGGTAGAGGAGGAGGCAGGGGCAGCCCCTGCTCTGCTCCTCGTTCAGGACAAGCCTTATGGAGCTCTTGGGGTCTCTGGTTAGTGCGGTTTCCTTACCGGTAAGTTGTGGGTCCCGAGTCGTGATTCACATGAGCCACGCGGGGTCACGCAGGGCAGCGTGGGGCTGATACGGGGGCTCCCCGCACTGGCAGAGCCGCCTCTCACACGCCGCCTTGCCTTGCACGCAGCAGAAACCCGAGCCCATCCCCAGCAGCAAGATGAGCATGGTGCACACCACCATCGAGGAGAACTTCCTCGAGGGCACCTTGCATTTCCTGAGTGAGTTCGTCTCCTGCAAGCACTGCCCTTCTAAAGACATTGTGTCCTACCTGGTCAGAGGGATCCTGCTCAACTCCCACCGCGGGGAGATCCTCAAGGACACCTACATGCTGCTCATGAAAATCCAAATGTATGTCTTCCCTCTGCTGTGGTGCCCTGGGTTTGGGTAGATGTTCCCTGGGGTCTGCCCAATGTAAAGGTCATTCTCTGCATTCTTTAGCCGCAGAATAGGAAACAATTTCCCCTATAATCCAGGATGATCCTTCTTCTGCCCCCTGCCTTCTGTTCACAGAGATGATCACAGCCGCAGGCTGGCTGGGGAATGCAGTGGGGGTCAGGGCTCAGACTGGCCCAGAGAGGAGCCTCAAAAGTCCCATAAGGAGGAAGGATGAGGGTGAGAGGCGGGGGGTGCTGAGACAACAGGGACTGCAGCTCTAGCTATTTCAGGAGCGTTTAAATCATTTCACAGCAAACCAGCAGAGCTCGGGGAGCGTCCAAGACTCCAGGGAGTGCTCTGGAACAGAGGAGCCTTTGCTCTGCTCCTGAGAGCAGATGTGGTTCTTCAGCACAGCGATGTGGCAGAAATGCAGCAGGCCCCGTGGGCTGGAGGAGGCAGGGGCAGTTCACCTAGAGTCCTGCCACGGGGCACAGTGTTTCCCGAGGCCACAGGCCCAGCGGGGCTGCTGCTTTCTCTGCAGCTTCCAGTCAGGCAATTCCAAAGAACAGCTGTGGATGGGGCAGGAGACAGGGAGAGGGCCAGGCCGGAGAGGAGATGGTGCTACGGGCGCCGGGAGGGCTGGGCAGGGGCTCTGCTGCCCCAGGGCAGATCAGCATGAACGGGCAGCGTGTCCTTGCAGGCTCCATCCAGCCAGCACCGGCACAGTGGGATGGGACTGGACGCTGCTGAAATACACCATGGAAGACGAGGTACTTGCACTTCTGCCTGCACGTGTCACCATCAAGCACCACCCAGAACACAGCTGTCAGGGCCGGGTGTCACTCCAGGTCCCCTCGCGCCCCTGCTCTGCAGCAGAACGGGCTGGTCATTTCCTCAATGGGCTGATCACTTAATGCTGGTCATTTACTGCCTGGGCCGGTCCTTTACTGCAGCATTTACTGCAGTCGCTGATGGCAGCCTGTGCCACGAGTGTCTCCCAGTTTTATCCATGGTGCTTCATGAGCAGCTGCATAGCTGTAGGCAGGTCGCCTGCTCTGAAGGTGACACTGCGACTAGAGGGATTTGCATGGGCAGCAGCCTTAGTGCAGCGGTGTAGCATGTCCAGCCAAGACCCTGGTTCACACAGCCCCTCCTGGAAAGCAGACAGGTTATCCTTCGCTCACATAAATCAGCCCATTCCCCAGACAGCCACGTTCCCTGCTTCTCTGCAGCCCTCCTGCTGTATCAGGCTCACACTGTCTGTGTTTCCCCTCAGGAGAAACCTCCTGGCCGACTCCTATTCCTGGAGTATGTGGTGCAGACCCTGGAGGATGATTTGCAGCAGAACCTGAGGCTGCACCTCCTGCAGAAGTCGATTGCCAAGAAAGTGCTTTCCTGTGACATGTGCTTCAGCAATGTCAAGTAAGGACACCTCCAACTCCCCTGCATCTTCCCAACAGATGCCGAGAGGCTCAGGGAATCTGTGTCAGGATTTTAGTTCTGACTTTCCAGGAAACAAGCATGGGAGACAGGGGAAAAAGAAAAAGGGGGGGGGGGCACAAGTGTAAAGAACAGGAGGGGGTTATGACGGCAAACCATTAGAGATGATGCAAAAAAAAAAAAAAAAAAATCCAGCCACAGCTGGGCAGGCGTTTTCCCAGGAATTAGATCAGATTTACATTGCTCAGTTCTGGACTGAGAAGCCACTCCTGTTGACGAGGAGCCTGTAAACCTTGGGCTGCTCAATAAGGCTACTCCGCAGCCTGTGCGAATGTGCGGGGCTCCTCCTGCATTCGGAATGTCTTTCCTGGAGCTCGGCAGCGGCGCAGCCAGGCGTCTCCACTGACTTTGCTGCTTCTCCCCCAGGGACGTGGTTGAATGGCTGGTGGCAGCGGTGACGGGAGTCGGGTTCTGCCAGCCCCAGGAGCAGCCGCGAGGAACGACCAACTCCTCAGCAGAAGGCAAGGCTGAATGCAGCTTGTCTGCAGCTTGGCCAGACTGCGCCGAAGAGGCAGAGGTGGCTCCGCCAGCCTTCTTCTCCCAGAAGTAAGCCCTGGAGTCCTGGCTCCTCCTCTTAACCCATGGGGCCCAAGGCAGGGAGATGCCAGGCTTTCCGATCACTTGTGCCTGTTTAGCTGCCTGAAGGCAGCTGCAGTTTTCCTCTGGGACAGATTTGGTGAATGAGAGATCTGCTCAGCTGTCAGGAAGCTGGTGCAGTGACCTTGCTCCTCTTACACACACTGTGCAGCCAGAGCCCTCAGCCACACCAGGGACAGCCCAGGCTGCCCCTGGAGACCCATCAACACCACAGGGACCTGCTTGGGGCCCATCTGAGAATTACCTTTAAGAGCATCAGATTTAAACATCAGTAAGAAACACAGGGGGGCTTTTTAGAGACCTAACCAATCTAACCTGCGAGCTCCCCCTTCGTCCCTCCCTGCGAGGCACCCATCTGAACACGGTGCCACCCGCTCTGCTTTGCTTGCGAGCCAAGGGCTCGTGGCTCCCAGCACTGTCCGTCTCGCCTAGGGTGATGCTGCTGCTCCAGCGGATGCTGTCCATTGCCGTGGAGGTGGACAGATCTCCCAACTGCAGCTCCTGTAAAATTGCAGATGTGATTTTCCCTTATATACTGAATATTCCTCTGAGGAGCCAAAGGTAAGACAAGCAACTGCAAGGCAGTATATGCCTTCGTGGGAAAAACTTATTCCTCGTTGACACCCAAATCTGGAGGCACAAAAATACTAGAGGGATAGAAAGACTCATTTATGACCCCGCCACTGAGAGTATGGCTGTTGGACAGAAAGATCCCACAGGGATGTAACACTGGTAATTTAATGCACCTCCAGAGCTGGTGCCTTGCTGAGAACTGTTGATTCCCCCACCTGCTAAAGCTGAAGGACTTTACAACTGCAAAGAGTTTTAAAAAGCAGTGCTCCGTATCAGCACAGTCACTTGCCAGTAAACACACCACTGATTCCCAGGGCCATCTAGCAGCTCATCAGCAGTGTGATGCAGTTCCTACAGCATTGCCTTGACCCGCTTTGGGCTTTTTCTTTTTTTTTTTTTTTTTTTTTCTGTAAGAAACGTGGTATCTGACGCCAAGGCACCAGACCATGACTAGCTCTAGTGTAGCCATTAGATCACTAGATCACAGGCATTTGAAGCCCACGCTTGCCAACCTAGCAGGCAGCCCCTCAGCAGAGAGCTCGCTCGGATCCTTTAGCACAACTCCCTCTGAACACACACTGGGATCTGCCTAATCGAGCAAAACCGAATCTAACCAAACTGTTGCTCATTCCAGGACAGATCTGCTCGATCCAGTTGGCATCTGAGCCCACTTCACACTTGCTTGGCTCTGCTTCCCATGAGTCAGCAGGAATGGGTCCTGCTGTTGGGCAAGGCAGCCAGGCTTGTTTCATAGACCGTCCCGACCTCGAGCTGCCACAGGCCAGACCTAAAGACATCAACACATGTGTGGCCAAGCTCTATAACCAAGATCATTGTATCGTATCAGGTGGCTTTGCTTCCCCGACGCTGCTGGGCAGCCCCCTGCAGCCACCCCTCACCAGTGCAGGAGCAGCACGAGCAGGACACAAGGAACATGTGGGAGAAGCTGTCCCTGGTGAGGTTGCGCTGTCTCTACAGTAAATCCTTGTGTCTTCCAGGGAAGCCTTCTTGAACACCATGGACAGCCAGCTCCTGCGCTGCAAAGTGCTGGAGCTCATGTTCCAGCACAGCTGTGAAGTGCCCACAAACATGCCCTTGTCTTTGGCCAAGATCCTTTATTTCCTGAGCCACTCTGTGCTCCTCCAATACCAGGTATCTAATCCATCCTCTCCCTTGTGCTTTTTTCTTCTTGTTTTGCTTTTCTCCTAAGAAAACTACTTGTAATAACCAAACACTCCCTCCTCTCATAGGAGGAAGGAGCAGTATGTGAACGATGGGATGAAATGCTGCAATACTTGACGCTGCTGCTGCTGAGTTATCAAAACGTTGTATTGGGTAAGCAGCCTGTTCTGACCTTAACGCACGCTATCTAATCAGGAGGCTGCAGCAGGACAGCCCAAAACATTCTCTGCATTTGAATTACCTCACAGCCCCCGACTCTTGGGAAGGTGATATAGCCCTGTCTTTGCTCTTAACTATTCCCAGCAGCCAGGGTTAAGGAACGATATCACAGAGCTACATCAAGAAGAGAGCACAGCCTGTTTTGCCAAGCTTAGTCCTTAAGGACATCCCTACTTCCTAAAGGATCAATCACAGCCTTGGGAAGCAGGCGAGTGGGCATTTTGCACCAGCTGTTTCCAAGCTGCACAAAGAATGAGTGGAATAGGGCTTGTTTAAGAGGAAAAACAGAAGGCAAAGGGGTTGTGAAGCCAGGGAGCAACTGACTGGGAAGGGAGCATCACCCATAACAGTCTTGGAAGAAGCAGTATTTCTGACCCCCAGGAGAACTGGGGGGGGTCAACAGGTAGTCCCTAAAATTCAGTCTTACTGAAAATTGATTAAGTCTCCTCCTACCCTCAGCTGCTTGAGCCCAGGATAAGGTTCTCATGGAGGACTTCAGAGGAACCCACGAACATGGGCACTGTCCCATTCCTCCCTTGCTCTCCAAAGCCCTCAGAAGATCACGCTAGTTGAGAAGCTCTTTAGGGACTCCTCTCCAGCTAGACAGTTGTCCAGTCTGCCATAAGCATAGAGGGAAACCACATTACAGCCCCCTCCCCATCTCTTGGCCTCTGTATGTGCCACACTGAGCTCCAGGAGGTGACAGCTCCTTCTTCCACCTCCCTACTCTTGTAGGGAAGTGGAGCCTACCTAGCAAAGGACCTGCACATTGTCCCTGCCTGCTTTTCACCGCAGGGCAGCACTGCCTGGGACACGCTGCTGCCTGTCCCTGAACAGGTCACACACACACTGCCTTTTGCCCATTGCCTCTTACCACCCATGTTTTCTCTTGCAGGGCACTTACGGAGTGCGCTCAGCGAGCGGATGGACTTAATAATTAAGAAAGCCAAGCCCAAGCTCCAGGATGACGATCACATCACCCAGCTGGACATTCACCTGAACATGGAGAACTTCCTCAGCCGCTTGCAGCAGGTCTTGGGGGAGGAGCCCTTCCCCTTGCAGATCAAGGAGAAAGTGCAGATGCTCCAGGAGTTACTCCTCATCGTCACTGCCACGTGATGCAGACAAGCACTGGGACAGGGGGCTCTTTTACAAGCTATGCAGTCAAAACCCTCAGTTTTCTGCTGCAACCTCAAGTGTCATCCATCACGCAGTTTTGTTTATGCATTTGTATGAAAACAAACAAACAAAAAAACCCCACTTTCATTTGCCCAATCTCAGACCATCCTTTCAAACTCAACTCTTGTCCTACAGTTCTACAAGGCACTTTGTACACTTTTAAAAAATAAATTATTTTTGTATTTGCTGAGACTCGTCTCTCTTGGTGCCAGCTCTGTTTAGAGCTCTGTTCAAATGATCCCTCTTCCTTGTTAAGTGGAACTTTAACCCCACGCACCAGCAGCGAGAGGCCTGGGAGGGAGTCAATAGCCTCGTGCTGCCTCCACAGCCGCTTTACCAGCCCCGACAAACACTACAAATCCCCAATCACAAGAATTTTATTTTCTTGTAACAAACAGAACTGGACACAGACATGAATACAGACTATAAATAAATTATGGTCAAACCAGAGATTCTCTGATTGCAAAGGTGTAAATGATTAGTGACAGTGACAATGACAACTGCGTGGCTGTGCAGGAGAGTTTCAGCACAACGTGCCGCTGGCATTGCCATTGAAGCTGGAGATGAAGCAGAGCCACAGAACAGACTCCTTCAGAGGGGGACACCAACTAGGCACGTACCTTGGCCAGTCGCCCCAAGCAGGAATGCTCATTTTGAGCAGGCAGCAACCCCAGAGCACGGTGGTTACCAGCACTTGAGCTACCTCTCTCTAACACGCGTGTGACTTAAGAGCCTCTGATGGCAGATGCAAGACTCCCCCCTCACTGCTAGAGAAACCTGCAGCGGCCTGAGGGAGCAGAGCAGTAAGGGGATCAGGAAACAGGAGACCTGCTTGCCACAGACAGAGATTATTCCCATCCCTCCTGCCATTGCTCAAGGGATTAGATGGTACACAGACAAGCTGACTTGAATTGAAAGACTTGACTTGTCTTTCTTTCCCAATTTTCAGGAAAGGAATAGCAGGCAGTAACCGTCCCAACAACTGATTGCAAGGTTAAGTCAAAAAGTAATATTAAAAATATATAGCTCTGACAATATAACATGTAAGAATTTAACCTTAATCCGCCCCTCAAGCCTGCCCCAGGCCGGCAAAGTGCATCTAACACTGATGAAACAAAAGACCCTATTTGAGAAGTGCCCCTGTCTAACACAATTCTACACATGATTCCTACAAGATGCTAAGAAACAACCAAGAAGCATCCAGAGCACCAAAACTGCTGCTAAGGGAGGCAGGAGACTCTTGTTTCACATTAATCTAGAAAGGAAAGAGAAGGTTACTCAGTTGAGACCAATCCGACTCCAGTCATTCCCACTGACTTTGGGGGGAATATTAAGAGTTACAGACACCTTTGTTCTTCCCTGCTACTGCCTTGGTTCTGCTCCTTGACTTCCTAATAGTGATCACTGCCTTGCTTTTCCTTTAAAAAAAATCAAAGAAGAAATAAATAAGCACAGGGTGTGAAATATCATAAAGTGACACTGGAAAACAAACAAGAGGAGTCCATCCTATAGTTGTCGTACCACATTCCCGCATTAAGTTCTTTCAATCTGTTAATGGTCCATTTTATTCCTGGCTTGTTTGCCTCGTTTTCTGCTGGTGCTTGTGTGTACCAGTCAGAACAATGGTCCTCCTGAGGATATTTCAACACTGAGTAGGACAAGATAATTAGATAACAAGTAGAGAAGCCAGTCTACTCGCACACCACAAGCTTGTCCTTTCCCACAAAACACGGTTCAAGGTTCGAGTGTAGTGTTCTGTACTGGGAAGCACGTCTGCCCGCGCAGCCTGGCACACAGAACCAGTGCAGATACAGCAGACAGGATGGTTTGCTTGGTTAGTAGTAGCACAGGAGTTTCTTAAAGACTGATTCAGGGTTGGCTTTAGAGGAACAGTGAGAGCTGTCTCCTTTGCTGAGATGAAGAGCTGGAAGAAACTTTCCTATTTTACTGCAGCACAATGAGACAGGGAAGTAAAGCCTAAGACGCCCCCTGATCCACTAAGGACATCAGGAGCACTCCTCTCAGAAGCCTGTTGGAGTGAGAACATTGAGATCCCGAGGTCGGATATTATGGGACCGTGGAGACTGTTTCCTCCCTTCTACGACTGGAATGTCCATTTTGGGTGGCTTGAAGGTCACTGGATCTTCTGGCATTCTAGTAGCCTGGGCACGCATCAGTTCCATTGGAGATGGTTTCTGGGCACCCTTATAGGATTGGATGGTAAATCCTCCTGATGGAGGGGGAAAAAAAATACAAGTAAGAGCTGGGGAAATCAGCCAAGCTCCTCTCCACTGCCATAAATGCTGGGCACTCAGAACTGCAGAAAAACCTATGCAAGTCCCAGCAACCTTATGTTACTTAAAGTCTGTTCCACATTTGGAACTAACACTTCCAGATTAGATTTCACAAGACAAAGACAGCAGCTGAGCAACAGGCTTCACACCCTGATCTTCACTGCAGCTCAATGCAAGTGATTGACACTTTCAAACTCTCAGCTGATTAGTTTTTTTTAAAGCAGCTTTACCTTTAGGTACAGAAATGGTATAAACGGCACATGGACACACAGTAGTCCTAGAAAATTACAAGGGAAGTTGAAAGTAACTCTCCAGAAGTAGCTACTGAGCTGTCACTTGGCAGTTCTCCACTAACTCTTACAGTTTAAGAGCTCTTAGACGACATACCTGGATCATTGGTCGATTTCTGGATAGCTTTGGGTCCAAAAAAGCTCCATTTTTCAGATGCCAATCTGTCCCCACCAGCTTCCACGGCAACAAAATCTGGGCCAGTGATAGAAGCAGAGGCTCCATGACTAAACCAGCCCCTAGGGAAAAAATCATTAAGATGCATGAAACACAAAAAGAGTAAATATTTCAGATAGTCCCATTGTGACAAATTCCCTGAAGCTATTAGAGGCAATTTAAATGATCTTTTAATAAGCTTGTTGGCACCCAGAATGAAGCTATACTGAGGTTCAACTTTCAACAGGATCAATTCCATCCAAGCATGGATTGACAACAAACCCGTAATTCCACCCCCCAATCCCCCTTGGGAAGAGGGTTATCTGAGTAACTCCCACCTCATCCTGCAGGAAACCAACCAAGGCCTGCCAGGCACCGGAGTACCTGTTTTTATGCTTGGGAGAGGAGTGGGGAGTGCTGCTCGGAGTGGACTGGGCAGACGACGTCTGCTTCTCTTCTTTCGTCGTCTCTCCACTCTGCATTTTTAACTTCTGTTACAAGGAGCAAGAGAAACACAGAGGCAACAGGACTTTAATATGAGGTGTAAAGAACAAATAGACAGTTATGTCAAAACTGGATACTCATAAGTAATAGATGATGTAAGTCTTAAAATCATAAGTAATAGATGATTTAAGTCTTATTTCACCTAAAGCTTAAACCCAATGTTACAAGACACTGCATACAGATTTGGTATAAGAAGTATAAACACCTACTGGGCCCTGAGAAGTGATCCACGGATGACAAGATGAAAACATTGCTCTAAAACTCCTTCAGATTAACTGCATTTTAAGGATATGCCTTGCCATTAAAAAAAAAATAAAAAAAGAAAAAAAAAACACAGGAACTGCATGTGCGTAACAGACCATTACAGTCGTTCATACGGTACAAGCTGGACCTTGAAGAAGTCACTTGAAGGGCAGTTACAATTCAAACAGGGAGTAAACAGGCACTTTCTCGCACTGTTTCCTGTAGCTATCCAAGCCACACTAATGAAATTCAGTGACAACACTGTTATTGTAACTTTGCCCTTGCAAGGGTACACTCAGAGGATTCAATATTAATAAACTAACTACAACATTACTGTGAGTTCATCAAAAATGCATCGATTTAAGACCTTCAAGTCTTCATCTGCAGTTAGAGCCCAAGTTCATTTTCTAGCTTTCACACTGGAAATGCATAGTTGACAAGTGCTACCATTCTACTTTGCTGCTGGTTGTCAAATACTCAAGACTAGCACTAGTACTCAGGAGCAATGCTGTAAATGCCAGTACTAATTTTAGCATAAAATCGGCAATCCTCTTAACAAAAAAGCTGAAAGCAAACAGAGCAGGCGAGTTAAGGACAGCCCTGGCAACAAGATCAGAAAGCTCCATCACGTGAGAGGCCAGGACACAGCCTGCAAACACACAAATGCCAAACTCGAGGGGTTTGTCTTACATGGACAGCCTCGGCCACTCGATGATACTTCGTCTCCTCTGTAGTGAGGCCTTTGTGGGGAGTGTAGCCAGCATCTCTTAGTCCTGCCTGCTGCTCGAAGCGCTGAATGCTCTCCTGAGTCTGCTCTGGAATAGGAACAAGAGCACATGTTCACACGGCCACGCTGCCACATGCGGTCACAGCAAGCACACGGGCAGCTCGGGCAGCCAAGCAAGACACCCTGCCAGTTTTCAGCATTTGTACCTACACATTGTGATGAGTTGACAGAGAAAGCAAGATGAAACTACGGAGCTATTTTGACTTGAAAAGTATCCTGAGTCATGGAGCTGAGTCAGAGGAGCAATCATTGCTCCCAAACCACAGCCTGTATCACAAATGCATCACCTGTAATTAAACCCATCTGGCCCAGGAAGCTGCATCACTCTTGACTAAACCTTCTCTAAATCTCAGAGACTCCCAATAAACTGGATATTTTAAAGCGACCTTCTATCAGCATAGGACGTTCACTTCCTAGCTAAGCCAAGGGCAAAATTAACAGGACAGAGAGCACAAAAAAAAAAGTTACTGAGAAAGCTTAATGTCTCCTTTTGTAATAGATAATAATAGCACTTCCCAAGCTGAAGCTACACATAATGCAACATCTCTGCAAGCATCACAGACATAAGGTTCTTACACTTCACCTTTGCCTATGTATTTCAAAACCGCCTGAAGTTTTTCCTGGAACATGTAGGTTGTGACTCTTGACTTCCTACTGCACAAGAACCTTCTAGGCCATCATGTTTTTTACTAGATTATAATACTACATTAGGCTGGAACAAAAGCAGATTTCCAGCAGCTTTGTATTTCTATATACTATTTGCAGGTAACATTGGTTATCTTCGAGTCAAAGAAGTGCAAGCTCAAAGCTGTTCCAAAATGCTCTCCTAAAACCTCACAGTCAAAAGAAAAAAAAAAAAAAAAACACAAAGCTTCAGATTCCAGCTGTTAAAAGAGGGACAGAGTAACACGTGAGCCTCTTCTGCTGCATACGGGCAGGTGCTCTCCGCCCACATAACTGACCCAATTTAATTTTAAAGCCTCATTATTTATATGAGCTGCTTTAAAAGCAAGTGTTACTAAGACAGCTGCTGCTATTAACTAACATAAATGGCAGCAAGTGCTCCATTAGCTAAATATGCCAGCTCTCCACATCACTTTGGTTTAATTTAGAGCCTTGCTTATCAGTCTGTAACAGCAAGATAATAAGCAAATGTACGTCAGGAGCAGCAGCACCAGCCCCTGCGCTTCAGCTAAAAGGTAGTCTGGGCTGCAAGGTCCTGTCAGCAGGTAACAGCCACTGCTCTCCTCCCTCCCATCCAAACCCAGCATAGGAGGACACAGGGGCAGCAAGCGAGGCTTTCTACCTGGCTTCCTCCAAACAACACCCTCCAAACAACTTCCATAGTTCAAGGGCAGAGTGAGTTTAAACTCAACCTGCCCAGGGCCTCTGATGGTCGCCCACGGCACGACCCAAGTGGAATAGACTTCCATGCCCATGTGCCGCTGGGGACCACACGATACAGGAACAGGAGTGCTTACTTGTGAAGAGAGAGCTCATGATGACGTGGGTGGCCTTGGCCTTCACCACGGGGACCTTGTTGATGCTTTCAGTGGAAGATGAAGGCGTGAGGACCGGCGCGGGGGTGCGAGCGTCGCCCTCCTCGATCTGCACAGAGGAGGCAGGGCACAGTTTAACATGAGAAGGGACCTCAAAGGCCACATCTTGAACTACCCAGCGAGATACAGGAGCAAGGTGCAGCCAGCTGGCACCCCAAGGAATCATTCCTGTGCAGTTCCAGTTATGGCCCGGGAACATTCAGAGATGCAACCTGCTTAGTTTAGCAATTAACAATTAACTTTCTTTTAATATTTGAAATTACACTGGGCTCAGAGCCAACAGTTTACTAGCCCAAGTATGAAAAGGTCAACAGGAAAGCAACTAGAACATTCCCGTTTCCGCTCTCGGAGCCAAAACTGGCCTTCAAGGTCAGAAACACTGCTCAGAACCACAAATATCTACAATATGACAGAATCACGTGGCGTACAGGCTGCAGTTTAGATTTGATTTCATTGATTTCAAATGATTTCATTTCTTGCATTTCCAGGTTGTTACGGGGAGAGCATTCAATGCATCTAATGTACTCTAATGCATCTAATGTACTCGGCTGTGCCATTGATCGTGAGACCCTGGTAGCAAAGAGCAGCCTGCTAGCAAACGAGATCCCTAAAGCAAAGCACAGCCCCAAGAGGGTGTCCCCACGGGGGATGGCTCCCTTCGGGTGCCAAAGCCCCAAGCTGGGCATCCTTTCGTGCAGGAAAGCCCAGGACACCAGAACGAGCCGAAAGGCCGTGTTTAACCCCAAAATGATGCACGTTTATTTAACCTCCGGTAAAGACCCCGCTTCCCTTCCGCCGTGGGGAGCCAAGAGGCGGGGGGCGGCCGGGGCGGCCGGCAGCGGCCCCGCGCGGTTCGGGCCGCGCGCTCGCGGCCCCTCGGCCCCGGCAGCGGCTCCGCCCGCCTCTACCTTCGCCAGCTCCTGGTACTTGCGCTCGGGGATCACGGGCTGCCTCCAGAGCACGTTGGCGCCCAGGTCGGCGGGCGGCGGCGTCATGGGCGCCGTGTCCTCCAAGGCGTCGTCGTAGCTGAAGGCCCGGCGGGGCACGCCGAGCGGCAGCGACATCCTGCCCGCCAGCGCTGCGGAGAGAGGGGGCAGCGCTGAGCGCCGGGCCGCCCGCCGCCCGCCCGCCGCTCGGGGGAGGCCTTACCGGGCGCGTCCGGCCGCCGCGCGCTCATGGCG